GAACAAGTCTGATGACACAGCAGAGCACCTTTTGGAGCTGGGGTGGTTCACAATGAACAACCTGCTACCCAATGCTGCATACAAGGTAAATGAGTTACTCAGATTATTCAGATTTGGTTATTTAGATTTTTTTTTTTCAATTAACAAAACAAAAACTGATATTCATTTAATTTGATTGTAGTAACTGGCTATACTCTACTCTAAAACATGGGCCACATTATGACACTGCCTCTTTGCAGCCAAGCACAATGACACCCATGACCAACATTTTTTTTTTTTTTTTTTTTAAATCTATACTAAGGAAAGCTGTCAACTTACATGCAGCGGCCACTAATGCAGTCCAACACAACAGCTCAGTCTACTTTTACTAGAATAATAATGTTCAGTTTGATGCTGTTAAGTCAACTCTGTTTTTACGTTAAGGTTGTAGTTTTTTTTGTTGATATTGTACTGGACTGCATTTTATTCAAATGTGTTTCATGTTTGTAAATGTGGGCAAAATATTAGAACAGTATAATGCAGTCCCTTTCAATGCCACTGAAAAAAACAACCTCAATGATAAACATACATGTAAACTTAAACTCTGATAGTGTCAATCAAAACTGAACATTACTATCTTTGCAAAAGTAGAATTTGTGGCAGAGCTGCTGTATTATATTCTATTAGATTTTGCAGGTGTACCTAATAAAGTGGTGAATGTCTGTATATTAACATAACTGAAAATACAGTGTTTACTCACATTTGTGACTCTGCCTGGTTTCCTCTGTGCAGCGTGTGAGGGTATGTACACTCTTGGTACAGTGACAAGACTGTGATGTCTGTGTTGACTCCATCTTGTTTGTCCAGATGGGATCACTCTGTTGCTCTTCAGAGTTTCATAGTCAGTGTTGCATGCAGACTCAAGGATTCATTGATGCATGTGCCAATGAAGGCTCATTACAAGTGCACTTAAAACCTCATGTTTTACATTCTGTGCTCATATCGTTAACTATTTGTGCTTTTTAAAATGTTTTCAAAATGATATCAGAATACAGCAGGAACAGTTGCTAGGGCTTCTACTATATTATTTCTGAAGATAAGATAAACTCCCTTTTGTTTTATAGGTCGTACTTCGTCCTCAGAGTGCCTGTCAGTCAGGACGCCAGTTTGCCTTGCGCATCTTCAGTAAAGTGCGCCCCCCTGTTGGAGGAATCTCAGTGAAGGAACATTTTGAGGTGAGGTATATCACACGCAGCCTCTCTGAAACATGTATACTGTATTTTATTGAAGATTTTTTATGATAACAAACGCCTTTTTTATCATCAGGTGAACGTGGTTCCTCTCACCATCCAGCTGATGTACCAGTTCTTCAAAAGAATGATGGGATTTTTCTTCCCAGGAAGAAATGTTGAGGAGGAGGAGGTCACTGATGAAGAGGACAAATTCAGATTGGTTACAACTGGTACGGTTCTATCGACAGTATAAATATGACAGCAGTAAGCTGAGTAGCACTTAGTCTCCAATGTCTTTGTGTGATCAGAACCCTGCAACCTGCCAACTAGGCGATCAATAATAGTTTCCATGTTCTCTTCCAGCCGTGTGTGTGTGTGTGTGTGTGTGTGTGTGTGTGTGTGTGTGTGTGTGTGTGTGTGTGTGTGTGTGTGTGTGTTGAATTACCCATTACTGTGTGTTATGTCATCCCTCAGAGCTATTAAAAGGCTCTGTCACTTTGGATATGACCTTGAAATATGTGTGTGAGAGACTCAGAGGGAGTATAAGGTGTAGGTTGCAGAGTCACCCAGAGGTCACAGTGCTGATGCTAATGTGGTCTGTGCCGCAGGTATCCCTGTCAAGCCTCGGCAGTCATCAGAGGACACAATGGGTGCTATGGGCCCCAGCAAAGGTGTCGGCCAGGGGCTGAACCGCACTGCTGGGGTCAGGAGGTCTTTCAGGAAGCCTCCAGAGGTATTCATGCTTTTTTATTGATTGTTTTCTGCATAACTAAGCTTTAAGAATAAACTTTTTAAATTTTATTTATATTGTTTCAGTAGCAAAATATCACAAACTCATAAAACTGAATATAAGAACAGACCAGGTCATCAGGGGCAACATAAACTTCATACAACATCAGGAAGTTTGCTTTATGTTAAAAAGATCTCTTCTTTCCAGATTGACCTGGTATTAACTGAAATGTCATTTCCTCCCATGGCTAGAAGTCCTGCTATGTTTGCCCAAGAGCAAATAAACTAGAATACAATTAAATATAGATAAAAGGTAATGATGGTGAGGTGGAATATCAAATTGAGGCCATTTCAAATCCAAGATTCCTATAGCGCACAAATGAAATTCAAAAGATTCAGGCCTCACAATTTTTAACTGTCCATTACACATACACTTACCCATACAGTTAGTGCATTTACTCAGTAAGGAAGGACGATGTAATTATGACAAACATAATACATCAAGGCTTGTAAGAACTTGGAAGAACGTGAGGCAAGGCAACCCACATACAGTGGGGTCCAAAAGTCTGAGACCACTGAATGGGAAAGTGGTCTCACACGTTTGGACCCTACTGTATGTAAGTGCAAGAAATAAACAAGTACTGTTATTAGTCTTCCTCAAAGATAAAACATTTTTTAATTTCCTCCTACCAGCACCCTGTTGATGACATCGATAAAATGAAGGAGCGAGCTGCTATGAACAACTCCTTCATTTACATCAAGATTCCCCAAGTGCCCCTCTGTGTCAGCTATAAGGTGGGCTCCTGTGCATAACAACTGTACACTGATTCTTGTTCTTCGATTCTGTCCCTGTTCATCATGGTGGATAATGGACTTGTAATGAAATGTCCGTTTTCCTCAGGGAGAAAAAAGCAGCGTGGACTGGAAGGACCTGAACCTGGTTCTGCCTTGTCTGGAGTACCATAACAATACCTGGACTTGGCTCGACTTTGCAATGGCTGTGAAAAGGGACAGCCGGAAAGCACTTGTAGCACAGGTACACAAAACTGTACTTTGGATTCCTCTGCTAGTTTAAAACCACATAAGCTGCTATTAAAGGCAGACACCATGTTGTGGTATGTTATTAAAGATTACGTCACCACAATCTGCTCTCTTATCCTGTTTGAAATCAATCTGTTAGCTATTTTCTTCTGCAGTTTAAAGTTGTCCTTCATTGTAGACTGTGCTCGGTTGTTTCAATTTATTTACCGTAACCAAGAATGACTAGGAGGAGAATATACATAAATTTGCCCTGATAATGCAGAGTTTTATATTTATGAAGTTTTCCTTTGTGCTCTGTTGCTCAGATGATAAAAGAGAAGCTGCGTCTAAAGCCGGCTTCAGGCTCAGATCTGCGAGGGAAGGCGTCTGAAGGGAAGTCAGACAACGGGTTGCAGCAGCAGGAGGAAGATGAGAAGGCACGGCTCCTCATCGGCCTCAGCACTGCAGACAAGAGCTCCAGCAAGAAGAGCATCTTCAGTCGGCGCAAGTGACACAACAAACACTCACATTTCACACCAAACCTTAGCTTAACTGGATGATCCACCGCAGCCGCTGAAACACTCCCTCAGTACAGGGATCAGGGAAAAGGCAGACTGTGTTAGGGTCAGAATATCTGGCTTTGGGAATCACAATGAAAAGGGAGATGGTGGAGCATTTTTTTATAGGTAGAGGGGATAGTTTACTATATCATATGAGCCTGCTGAACTTAAAGAAACATTCTGGAGATTTTGTTTTTGACTTCTGATGTGTGTCAGATTTGAATTTATGCCCAAAATCCCTGCAGGGAACTTGAAACACCTCCAGGATTACCAGGGTGCCATATTGACCAAATATATATTATCTTCTTTATTTGTGTGCCACTAAAATGTCACTCTGCATTTCATACACTCTGCAACTTTTAAAAAAGTGACCACTTAGGTTGCATTGAATGTAGCGAGGAAGATTTACAGTATGTAGCTAGCACTTCACTGTTACTGCTTCCTCTGCTTCTGTAAATGCAAGACTGAGAGCAACTTGTCCTGCTGGCTCAGGAACACACTGTATTTCAAAAAAAAAAAGTCTGCTAGAATAAATAGGACTCAATTGAAAGCACTTTCAACGCTGTCAGCTGTAAAAAATTTGATTTTGAAATGCCATAAATAAATATATCAGTATGTTTTATTAATTAAAGCTTATAGAGGTTGTTCATGGCTGTATGACTGTGACTGACAGGAAGGCCTGTTCCCACTAAAGATACTATTTTATATTTTACTTGTGAATGAGCATCTGCCCTCAGCTAGCTGTTTTACTGTACCTCACATCAGTGCAATATATATCAAGAACAGAGCAGCAAAAACATTTCATGTGTTGTATAATGTGGCACCTGGTTTGACGGTATTGTGGCAACAAGAAGTGTGTTGCAGCTAATCGCTGAGTGTATGTTTTGTAACTTTAACACTAAAGCACTTTTTATGCAAAGTATTTTGATATTTTTGTAATCACGGTTGTTTTCTGTTGAATTACTTGTATAACTGCGCTGCTAAAGCCTGTTATTTCAGTCCCACTTCTATCAGAGAAGAAGAAAAACTGCCCTGAACATTTCAATTAAAAGGATGATATTGCAAAAGCCTATGTGTTCACATTTCTATCAGCTTTGTGGCTTAATGTTTATCTGTCAATAAAAGCGTTATAGTCTCTCAGTGGTGCATTTGTGTTTGAATTTTTGTGCGGAGTAAAATATAAAGGGGCAGGTCTGTGAGTCGCAGTAAGTTGGGGAACGGAGGAATGATCGATCATTAATGTGACAGCTTTAACTGGAGCGGAATCGAGTTCTTCCCGCTCTGGATGACTCTCTGCAAACACCCTGCAAACATTTCTCTCTCCTCAAGACACATAAACACACGGACACGTGGATGTGACGCGATGAATTGGACCTTGCGCTTCTGAATTAAAAAAGGATGCGAGAGGAAAAGCTGAGGCTACCGCTGCTTTACTCAGATTTGAGTGAAATACTTTGGTTTGTTTACCCTCGAGGATGTGATGGGCAGCGACGTCAGTAAGAACAAGGTGAGTCAATCAGACTGGAGTCATTTACATGTACATGTAGATGTGAGCTGTAAGGTAAAATACCAGGTGCTAGAGAACTGCTCGTGTTTTGGATGCGGCGTTTTTCTAAAGATTTTATGGTAAAATTACACAAAATCAAGCCACTTGATTTGGATTTTTAAAATGAAGGCGGTGGAATTTGAATAAGTCCACGTTTTGGCGATTGTCCATGTTTGTAAGAGCAGTAAAGTGTCAATGATATGTTTGTGTTGGTTCACGGCTCACTGCTGTGCAGGAAACACGTCCACACGTCATAGTGAAGTCTTTCTAAAAATGGAGCTATTGATTAGTGACCTTCCCTCCGACCTGCAGCATGAGGGTCAATAGGTGCTTGTGCAGCACTGATAGAAATGCCTTTAGCCGATTAAATTAGCTTTACATGTCATTAGATTTGGAAAGCGTGTCAATTACTTCATTGTGTTCAAAACCAAGTGACTACACAATTTGATTAGACGCAAATATGAAGCTTCAGGACTCTTTTCTTTTACGCTTGACGCCTTATTAATGTAAGACTAATATCAATAACTGCAAACCTAATGACTTATTAGAAAGTGAGATTTATTTGTTCGAAAAAAAGTTGCAAACGAGCTGTGATAAATAATTTAATTTTAATTTAATTCAAAAAATGATAATTGGCAAGGCAACAAGGATGTGCTTTTTAAAAAGCAGTGGTGAAAGAAGTACTCAGATCTTTTATAGTAGGCCTATAGGTGGTAAAAAAGAAAGTACCCAGTCCCAAGTAAAGGTTCTGCTTTGAAAAGCTTATTCAAGTAAAAGTATAGAAGTTTTATTACTTACAGCAGTATGGCCTTGTTCAGAATGTTATATTATTATGTATTAGATTACTTATACACTGACATATAAGCAGCACATTAATGTCGTAGCTGATTGAGAGCGAGCTAATTCTAACAACTGTATTTTCAGGTAGTGTGTTTACAGCCCATTGCTTATCTGTATGTAACAATGTATATCTGCATGGTCCATGTTAAATATCATTATACGATTTCTATGCTAAATCTTAATCTGGAAAGTAACTACAAATGTCAATTGAATGTAGTACAATAAAATATAATACTTGGACTTTAAGTATTAAATAACAGTAAGTAGGTAAAAGTACCTCAAAATTCTACTTAAGTACATTACTTGAGTAAATGTACTTGATAACATTCCACCCCGATAATGAGCTTTTAATTCTTATTATCCTTTTTCCTTTCTAGAAAGAGGGACCAACTGCCCCGCGTCGACTCAGTCATGGTTTCCTCTCAAATATGGGGGTCTCCATGGCTCACAGACTCGGGCACTCAGCAGTATTTTCCCGGGCCGTGGGATTGGACGACAGACTGCCTGCCCCCAGGCTAATGTTGGCTCCGGAGGACAACGCTGGGACGTCAGACACGGACAGGACTCCTCCAGCTTATGTCTCTGTCTTTCTGCCCGAGTTCCCACACCGCAAATTTCCTGGACAAGAGCATTTCCAGGTACTCTGGACCACAGCCTAGGACTGTTGAACAAAACTGATATTTAGGGCAGATGTTGCAGTTCATCAGGGAGAGTGAGGAAAAGTAGTGGAAACAGTGAGATAACTGTACTTCTGTGCTCACAGATTCTGGGCCTCATAGCTAAAGGATCATATGGACCCATCATTAAAGTGAAGGACATTTTTAAGGAAAAGACCTATGCTGTTAAGGTTAGTTGAGCCATAATAACCAGGACTATAACAGCATTATAATCTATATGAACGTAAAATATGTTTTGTGTCATCATTTTCATTTTTGTGTAGGTTCTACCAAAGTCAGAGATCTTGAAGCATGGAGTGCTGGAGCAGTCAAAAGAGGAAGTCATCATTCAGGTATATCACAGAGTAAAAATCTATGTTGTGGAAAAAGGTATCATGAGGTAGAAGCACTGTTATTTACTGTTCTTATACTTATGCGAGAGCTGCAATAATTAATCTGCAACTATTATGATAATCGCTTTATCATTTGCTATCATTTGCATTTTTACTGCTGAGAGGGATGTTTTGCTTGCAGTTATAAACAAAGGACAAAGAGGAAATGTTTACTCCAATGAAAAAAAGCCTGATTACTTTTCTCTTCTTTGCCGAATGACCTGACATCTTAGAGTTTGTATGTGTTGACAAACTGAGGAGCTCTTCACTGAATTGGACTTGAAGTACACTCACTGAGCACTTAATTAGGAGCACCTGTACACCTGTTTGTTCATGCAGTTATTCAGTCAGCCAATCATGTGGCAGCAGTGCAGTGAGTAAATCATGCAGATACAGGAGTTTCAGGTAATGTTCACATCAAATATTACAATGGGTAAAAAATGTGATCTCACTGACTCTGACTATGGTGTGATTGTTGGTGCCAGGTGGGCTGATTTGAGTATTTCGGAAACTGCTGATCTCCTGGGATTTTCACACACAACAGTCTCTAGATTTTACTCAGTGATGCAAAAAACAAAAAACATCCAGTGAGCTTCACTTCTGTGGAAAATGTTGAGAGAGGTCAGAGGAGAATGGCCAGACTGGGTGGAGCTGACAGAGAGGCTAACTCAGATAACCACTCTGTACAACTGTGGTGAGCAGAAAAAAAGGTGGATGAACTACCACTAACTGCCTTGTGTCAATAGTCCAGGCTGGTGTTGGTGATGGTATAATGGTGTGAGGAATTCTTTTAATGGCACAAATTGGGCACCTTAATACCAGTCGACTAGGCACTCGATGCCCACAGTGTACCCTCTTCTAATGGCTACTTCCAGCATGATAATGCTCCATGTCAAAAAGCAAAAGTCGTCTCAAACTGGAATCATGAACATGACAATGAGTTCAGTGAACTTCAGTGACCTCCCCAGTCACCAGATTTGAATCCAGCAGAGCACCTTTGGGATGAGGAAGAACAGTAGATTGGCAGCATGAATGTGCAGCTGACTAATCTGCAGAAATTATCTGATGGGATGAGGCTGTTTTCAGAGCAAAAGAAGGAACTACTCGGTATTGGTATGGTGTTCCTAATGAAGTGTTCAGTGAGGATACAGTAGAGCGAAGCGCAAAATGACTGAGGGTGGGTATGTGGGTATGGTATATCGAGTACATGTGTCTGAGTATTTTTAGGGCTACAATCAAATAATCAAATGAGCACTGTGAGATAAATGACAGTTTCTGTTTTCTGTCCATAAATAAGTCACTCACTCATTTACATGGTATTATCATGGTATCCTATAGGAAGTTCCCTGTCCATCTTTCATTGTTATATTCACTCTCACTCCGTGTGTGTGTGTGTGTGTGTGTGTGTGTGTGTGTGCGCGTTGACTGTTGCATTGCAGCGGCAGCTCAAACACCCATTTATCCACAATCTGCAGGACTGCTGGCAGACGCAGCGCAACCTCTTCATTAGTGAGTTAATAAATATAAACGATGGTGCAGTTCGATTCCCTCCCCCTTTACTATCCCTATGCTTTTTGTGTTCCCGAAAAGTCACCCCACCCCCCACCCCCCACCCCACCCTTCCCGGTCCTATACTAACATAAAGTGGACTGTTGTACAACCATGCATCCTCGAGTTCAATCACAAACCCCTGCACTGGATATTGAAGAGGTGCACTGCCATCTAATGAAAGCGCTGGGTAAAGCTCAGTGTGGCTGCAGCTGCTGCACTGCCAGCGAGTTTACAGTTTTTACAAACCGTGATCATAACTTTATATCTTTCCATCATTCATTTTTTTTCAGTTGAGATTACTGACAAAGGAAAATATAACTCAGCAAGACAAGAGCATGTGTATTTGTGACTTGACTCAACTTCAATCCTCACTTCTTCCTTTCCCCAGCAACAGTGGGATGAGAAAATCTTTTCATTTCTTTTATCTTCTTGTGGTTTCCATACTTCTGATATTTTATTCCAGACAAAGCTGACCTGCATTAAAACTCAGGAGCATCTGTGTGTCGTCCTCTGCAGTGTGCGACTACTGCGGCACTGGAGACTTGTACACTTACTGGTTACTGAAGGGCCAGTTTGGGGAGGATGAGGTCCGCCTCTTTGCTGCAGAGCTGGGCAGTGCGCTGGGTTAGTGTCAATCAGACATTCATCATTCCAACTTTTAATATTGACTTGAAATTTGTGTTTACATGTGTGATTTCTGTCTTGTGTTTGTTATTTTTAGGATTCCTACATGACATGGGGATCATACATAGAGATATAAAGGTATGATTTTTATATGTGATGTATTTAGCCTGATAAAATATAATTACATCTTATATTTATGACTTTGTAGGTTAATAATTTTACAATTTTTTTCAGATGGAGAATATTCTTGTAAGTGATCAAGGTAATGCTGGTCTATATTTTTGACTTCTGGTTTGTAAAAAATAACATTAGAAGAGTCTGTGGTCATTAGATTCAACAGTTTGGTCACACATGCACAATCACAAATAGCAAAACAGACACAGGTAACAGGTTACAGCAGATAAGATGCCACAACACTAGTAAGACTAACACACAAACCAACACATCTTCCAATTGGAATAATAGCTGAGAAGCCACTAAACAAAAAAATGATGTAAGTACACTTGATTAACTAATAGATAAAACGTCAACCGTAAGTGCTGCACCTAACACCAGGGCTAAAATTCAAGAAATGCAAGACTCTTTTATAGAAACATTTGCTGCTTTATTCTATAAATATAAACCAAACAGTAAGTTTGTAATGTAGCAGTAGTTTCAGCATGTGTTTCTGTGCCATCATCCAGGTCACCTTCGATTATCTGATTTTGGGCTCTCACATCGACTGAAACGAGGAGGACGAGCTTTTACAATATGTGGGACAATCCAATACATGGGTGAGATTTTGGTCTAATAAATGACATATTTCTCAAGAGAATATTCTCACTTGATGGAAATGATGATTTGTGTCTGTTTGAGCTCCAGTGTTCGGTAAATTGGATCACTGTAGGGGTTTGCTTTTTAGCGGATGATTGTGCTGAAGTTCTGTCTTTGTTTATAGCTGCAACACCATTACAGCCCCACCTGTGTTGTGCTCCCATTGGATTCAGTCGGCCTAGTTATGAATATGATGCACCTGTGATGCACACTACATAATACTGCTTTGGGTTTTCTGACAGAGGCTTTTCCTCAAAACATAAATGTTGTTTTTTGCTCTCCAGTCTTGCAGCTTTTGACAAATGTCGTAGTGATTCCTTTTTTTATATATTCTGTGTTAAGTAGCTCTCTCATCTTGAGGTTTTTTATCATCTTTGCTTCCCCCGTTTTGTGTAAACAGCTCCTGAAGTTTTAAGTGGGGGTCCATACAACCACGCTTCTGACTGGTGGTCTCTTGGCATTATGTTGTTCTCCCTGGTGACAGGAGAGGTGAAGGCACATAAAATCAATATTCATCAGCTATGGATGCGTCAGTTATTGGTCACTCTGGTTTGCGTACACCTGCCTGAGCACTTCTTAATGCACTTAGTTTCCAGTGCCTGCAGAGCCAGACCACAGCACCATGTTGAAGAAGGTCAGAGAGTTTCCTTATGTCCTGCCCAACTCCTTCAGCTCTGCTCTGATCTTACTGCTCACTGAGGTTTGTGTAAATATGATTCTCCTTTCTCTCACTTTCCCTTTGAGTGAAATATACTAATATACCGTCTTATCTGTTTCCCTCTTCATTGACGCAGCTTTTGTGCAAGAATCCAGTGAGCCGCCTGCGTAATCTGGAGTGTTTCAAGATGCAGGCCTTCTTTCGTGGCACCTCATTTGACCCTCACATCCTCCAAAAGACGCCTGTTGAATTCATCCTTGAGCTCAGGACTCATCCTGATTGGGCAGCCAAAGCAAGGAGAGGCCTTTCGTTGGACTACTTTGATAACTTTGACTGTGATAAAATCCTTCATTCTCCCACGACTCCGTCTGAACTGTCTCCTACCTTGGCCAACATGGACCTGAGCCGAGCCACAGAGCAGACTTGTAAAGCTTAAGACTGGACTATGTTTCTGTGGCTGAATACAGAAACTCTGACTAGACATGAGAAACTCAGATGATGAACATGTGTCTTCAGAATCTTATTTTGTCCTAAGTCCTAAGTTTCCCTGAACATTAATCTCTTACTGTCCAACCGCTGTTGTGCAGATGAGAGAGGATGCGAGTCCATAAAAATGTTGATATGCTGAGTCAGCTTCAGTTATTACCGTTTGCTCAGAGCAATGAGCTTAAGGAGCAGCAGCTGGTGGTGCAGAGAGGCTTCATGAACTTTTATTTACCCATGCCTCTCTGATGACACACAGACTGCCCTGCAGTTTACACCTGCAGACACTACTCTGGGCTGAAGAAGGTGCTGCAGCTGCGCTGTTCAGCTTAAAAACAGACTTCAATCTATATTTTAATTTACAGTTAATAAAGTATCAGGTATCTATCAATGACAAAAAAGTGGTTTTAGGGAGGGTTACAATACCAAAGTTTACACAGCATTTCAGTTTGTTACACTACCATTATTATGGAAAGCTCAGTAACCAACATTAGTATAAATTGTTATTTGCAAGATTGATTTTAATATTAAATGCTATTGTTTTTTTTCATGTGTATACCTCACTGTCCCAAAACTGTTTCACTATCCAATCAAACAATACTGGGATATTTATGGGTCATTTTCATTTAGTGTAGTCACTGAATCAGTGTCCGTAAGTGTGAGTGGTGTTTTATGTTAAATGTTCAACATAAACCAGACATGACTGTCATTTTCTGTGAGGGTTAGACTGTTTTCACAAACACTGCTGACTTGCTCATTTACTTTACAGCAGCATAAAGTGGTTGTCGATCTTTATCATCAGAGATTTGTCTTTATTACGATGTGTTTTTTGAGTCTAATTATCATTAAAAGGTTCAGAAGTATCAGATATCTGTAGAACAATTAGTTCTATTAGTAGACAATTAGTAGACGGTCTGTTGTTTTGTTATATGTATGTTCTTTTAATTTACCTGCCTTAAAAATGAATGCTTCCATTCTGTCCATTGCCAGGAATAGGCAAAAGGCTAATATAGTTTGTCTTGTACTGCAGCATTTCTACAATATTTCATTAAACTTACTTTATAAAGAGGTCAACAATGTCAGCAACGATTTCTACTTGTCTTTCTGCCTGAGCAGATTGACCTCATATGATATCCCTGTTATACAGAAATTAAAGCTCATTCTTGACCATTGAACACTTGTTTGACAGTAAATAAGGTCTGGACTCAAGATGCACTTACTAGATTTTTTACAATATATGTATATTTATATGACCACCTGTTATCACAAGACTCAAGCTCCAGATTTACACTAAGTCACATAATGGAAATTGAGCCACTTTCCATGACAGATGAGCAAACTCAATGTGCTGAGAAAGGCCATGAGATGTGGTTGACAGCTCTGAAACAAGGTAGTAAGTGGATTTTAACAGACTATATAAATGTAGCATATATATGGTACAACACAGTTGCAGTTGACTTGACAAAACAATCTCACTTCAAGGTCCCACTCCACAGTTGTTCTGGAGCTGTCAATCATATCACATGATCTTCCTCAAACAATAAAGCTGCCTAATAATGAAATTGTAGATGTTTAAACTTTTTTTTCTAAGCACTTTAAAGACATCTCGTCCATGTTAGCTTAAATGTTTACACTGGCAAAACAGTTTCATCACAGGGTCCATTTAGTAGCTGTTCTGGAGGTCAGGAATGAAGCGTTAGTCTCAACTCTAAAGTCACCGTGGAAGAGAAATCCTCAAAAATAAAAAATGGAAAGTTTGAACATCTGTAATTTCATGAGAACTGGTGAGGAATGTCGTGGGATACAGGCGAAAGCTCCAGAACAGCTACTGAGTGGAACTTAAGGTGGCATTGTTTTATCAGCTGCTCGTGAATGAGCTATCAATCTCAGTATCAGTTGCAAAATAGATATAGAGATAGAGATTGGATAGTATTGACACGGAATGGATATGAAATGTGCCATATTGCAGTTTGCATGACAACTTGTCACTGCCTGCAGCTGTTCTCTGAGGAAAGTTACATAAAGTTCCTTAACCAGTGTTAAGTAGATTAGTCCTGCTATTAATTTATATCAGTTATCACACGAAGGTTGTACCTGGATACATTATGGCCAACTTTCAGCCCTGGGTTGACCTATTTAGAGGAGCACTCACAAACCCCATAGAGGACAACCTTAATAGGACAGAAAATTGAGGACCAGATTGAGTATCATCATTAAATGCTTTTTAATTAGGTAACAGAGAAAAAAATTGAGAGTCCCGGCGGAGGCAACCATGTATAATTGCTGTACTTCCTGAAGTCTTGTATCTATTTTAAACTGTATCTTCTGAATGGGAGTGCACCGACTCCTCCTCACGCTGCCTCCTGACATTGAATTCCCTCTCAGGCCCTTGTCTTAGACAGGTCCACCATGTCTGTGTTGTGGCTGTATACTGGCAGGCAGTCCAGTGACCCATATCTAGTTTCAGAGGCACACTGACCCACAATAGCTAAGAGGGGAGTCTTCTGAAATGAATCTACTGTGTCTAACCAAATAGTAACATTACATAACAGAACACACTACAGAAAGCATGCAGTTTCCTGCACATAGCTCATACTGCAATGATGCAGCGCAATTCATAAAAATGATTCAACTTTGTCAAACAAACAGGGCTAAATTCAAAAGATAGAAATGTTTAGGTCATTTCATTTCTCTGTTAGTGTTTTAAAACAAAGATCGATTCACACTATTTACACAAGTTTTTGTATTTGTAAGCTTTCAACCAGAATCAGCCAATGCAACATGCCCATGATACAAAGAGGAAAAAAAGTTGAAAATTCCTTCTTCAAAATGGAAAATGATTTGGCTGACCTCATTTCGATCTAATCTGGGCTGTATCACCATCATTCGTTTACATTGACTGGAACCTGGAAATGATTTCTATTTCCGACACGTTACATAATTTTCTTTACAGTTTAAAGCTCACAAAAGAAGCCGTTGAGTGCATGAATTGCTCTGAGACTCCAACACCCCTGTTGGAGTCTCTGAGGGTGAAGACCAAATTATCAGGAGACTTGAAACCTTCCTTAGGGCACATTTTTACTAATTAGAATAAAAATAGAACGCCACAGGGTAGGGTTAAATGCTTAAATTAGGTTGGGAGGGATCGGACAGAATACATCATTTATCATTTCATAATCAACCTGAATAAGGACTGAAGCTGACAAGGTTAAAACAGTGTGTATGTAAAATTTTCCAATTTGTTTACAACACTGCATGTTTAGAAACACTCAGATTGAGTTTGCTGTTGCAAAGTGACTGAAATTTGCCATTTCAGAGTGAAAAAGAAGCAGCTGCACGGCAAAAATTATTCCTACATTTAAATAGAACAATGAATCATCAAGATTTTCTCATTTATATGGGGCAAAAGTGGGCGTGCAAGCCCCGCCCAGGGGTGTTGGCTTTTGAGGTGTGACACACTTGAGCTGGATACAAACTAGAGCTGACTGAGAGGCTCCGTCAGTGTTCATCACATCAGTAGACGGGACACATTTGATTTCACTTTGTGTCAGGTAAGACCCATCGCTGCTCATCTCTTTTAGTGGGCTTACCTCGCCTGTCTTCTTTAAATGATTTATTTCACTGACTTTACTGTGTAAATCCGTGTGCACTTGTATCAAGCTATTAACTGTTAACTTGCAGCTTTTAGCGGGTTAATGTAAACAGAACAATGGAGATAACTAGGGGCATCCATGAGTATTTAAAGTGGACTTAATATTTTATCTCGTTGAAGTTTGTTGCAAAGATGTCATTTTTACTCCACTTCATCTTTTACACCATGGAAATGTTTCGTTAATTTCACATTTGTCTTGAGATTTTAACTTTTTATGCCACCGTTGTACCTATTTCCTGCCTGTTCTAGTGCTGCTGTAACATGTGAATGTCAAAGAAGACATATCTTCCATTGTAGATCTACAATTATAAGACGTTAAAGTATTCAATCTTTTCTTGTCAAATAATCGTGCACTCAAAGTTTTATGGTTGGCCTGCATGCCAAAACAGCTGCATGTAGCTTCATGTTTTTAGACCTGCATCTATAGAAGGAGATACTTCCCAGCTGAGAATATACTTAAAAGGACCAGTCTGTTGCCACTATCATAGTTCAACCTTAAAGTGGTTCTGCTTCATTTGAGAAAGAGAGACAGAGAGAGAGAGAGAGACGGATGGCATTTTCTACATTAGCAAACCTCATAAAAGGATAGCATGTCTTGTCTTTTTGGTAGTTAACATGTGAATAATAGAATCATAAGGTCACATCTTCCACCAAAGGCTGTCGGACAGTTACTCAGGATGACACACCAGTTCCCCACGCTCTCCGAGTCGCAGAAGAAGGAGCTACATGAGACTGCTCTACGCATAGTTTCTCCAGGGAAGGGCATCCTGGCTGCAGATGAGTCTGTGGGTCTGTAGCACTCGCTTCCTTTCTTCACTTTAAACTGTAGAAAACATGTACAACCACAGGCAACAGTGAGTTCTGGCACTGATAAAGATCATCCAGTGCATAGTATGGATATTAACATCTCGTGTGCACATCACATACAATATGTTCACTGCAGGCAGCATGGCTAAGCGGCTGGCCCAGGTGGGAGTGGAGAACACAGAGGAGAACCGCAGACAGTACCGGCAGATTCTCTTCAGTGCGGACGATCGCATCAACAGCTGCATTGGAGGGGTCATCTTCTTCCATGAGACGCTGTACCAGCACTCTGATAACGGCGTAGCCTTTGTCAAAATGATCAGGGACAGGGGTATCCTGGTTGGCGTCAAGGTGAGGCAGTTTAATACCAAATAATATAAATGTGGCATATTGTACTGCACCACTTTTAAGATAACAGGTTGATTTTTTGATTAAAAAATATAACCGTATGGTAATGAATTCTGAACTAATTATTAGTTGTTTCTGTATATAAGAAGTTACCATTGTTGTCATTTCTCTATCTCTCATTACTCAGGTTGACAAGGGTGTTGTCCCCCTTGCAGGGACCAGTGGAGAAACCACCACACAGGGTCAGACAAAAACATCTTTGGTTTAGAGAACTGCTAACTATCTCACCCATAGAAAAAATTCCCATTACAAGACGATCTATACATTTTTTTTTAAACCTCTTCCACAGGTCTGGATGGATTGTCGGAGCGCTGTGCACAGTATAAAAAGGATGGAGCCGTCTTTGCAAAGTGGCGCTGTGTGCTCAAAATGAGTGACACCAATCCATCTAAACTTGCTATCACTGAAAATGCAAATGTTCTTGCACGCTACTCTAGCATCTGCCAGCAGGTCAGCAACTCAGTATCATATAACTTGTCTACATACTGTATCTTTGTGATGTTGTGGGTCCGTCTTATTCTGATATTTCCTGTCTCGGTCAGCATGGTATTGTGCCCGTCATAGAGCCGGAGATTTTGCCTGATGGTGATCACGACCTGAAACGCAGCCAGTACGTCACTGAGAAGGTGGGTTTCTTTTTTCTTACATACTGCATGTGCATGGGTGTGTAAAGTTGTTACTACAAGAATAAGAAGTGAAAGGGAGTGAACTCTGCTGTCTGTTTGGTGGAACAATGTGTGGAGTGCAGGTCCTGGCTGCAGTGTACAAAGCCATGTCTGACCACCACGTGTACCTGGAAGGCACTCTCCTCAAACCCAACATGGTGACACCTGGGCACAGCTGCTCCACCAAGTACAGCCCTGAAGAGGTTGCTATGGCAACTCTCACCGCGTTGCGCCGCACTGTTCCCCCAGCGGTCACAGGTAGGCCAAGAGGATTTAAGCACAGAAATGTTTGAAATCTGCAGAAACAGAGTAGAAAGAGGTTACATTTTCTTTTTCCCTGCAGGCGTGGCTTTTCTCTCAGGCGGTCAGAGTGAAGAGGAGGCCTCCGTCCACCTCAATGCCATCAACAACTGCCCTCTGGCCAAACCCTGGGTCCTGACGTTCTCCTTTGGCCGAGCCCTGCAGGCGTCTGCACTCAGAGCCTGGAGAGGACATAAAGAGAACGAGAAAGCCGCCACTGAGCAGTTCATCAAGAGAGCAGAGGTGCTTTTATTTACTCGTATTTACTGCAGATAAACCATGTGATGTGATCCTTTACCACAGAGTATTGTTTCCTGTTTTGTGTTTGCTTGCTTGTTTAATGTCTTGTTTGTCCACAGGTGAACAGTCAGGCATGTCAGGGGAAGTATACTGGTGGTGATAACTATGGTGAGCCTAACCAGCGTGTTTATGGATCCTGTCATGCATACTGAACAGTATGAGAAGCCACATTTCAGTTAGCAGTGTGTTCCTTTCATTACCATAACAAGACATGTTAGAGAATTATTGTAATGTAGATACTAGATACAATATTTCAGAATATTCACACTCATGATGATGTTACATGAAAACAATTGACAGCATGTTTTCTTGCCTTGACAAATGAGGACAATCAGAACATGGCCTTGGATATTTCTAATGCATGTACTGAATGAGAGATGCTTGCTTTAATTTTGTTTTGTCTTTTTTGCACGGGATGCTCTCAACTGTGACAGTGCCATCACTAAAGCTTTAAAATCCTGCATTTACTTACATAGTATCACAAATACTAACTTGCCATGTGCTGTAAGTAAATTTAATTTTGGCTGCAGAAGAAAATAATATTAGATTATATCACAGCACTGTTAATTAAATAGTAATAGCGGCTGAATTTCTGGCGTAGATTCCCCCACATATTCCGTGGAAGTATATTCAAGTTGTGCAAAGTTTCTGTATGTGTGTGTGTGAGCATGAGGATTTTTCTAGTTTAGTTTTACTATTCATTTAGAAGTCACCATGCACAATTAGAAATATTGCACCAGAATTAGCTTCAAGCTAATTTTCATCTGCAGTCCCTTGGCAGAAAGTACACTTAGCACAACAATTAAATACAACTCAGTGTGATTTTTGTGTGTGTGTTACCATTCTCAAGAGTATTCTCTGTGTCTCAAAGTCTAATTGAACATAGTTCAAATGTAAGCATTCAAACAATAAAACAGTGTTCAGGTAAAGTCTGGTGTGGGTGTTGTATTTTGTGATAATCAAAAGTTATATGATAGGGCTACAGGCTAACCCTCAATAAATCACATCATTTTTTTCTGTATTGTACAAGAAACATCCAAAATAGAGGATGGTTTGATGGCCCATTGGCGACAAACAGTTTAACTTAATTTTACTTTATTGCTATAAACATTATCACATATTTGCAGAAATATAGTTTTGGGTTGTTGTTATTCCATATATTCAAGTATGAGAAAATCAGAATATGAGAATATTATATGAGTAGTAACTAAGCGCATTTACTCAAATTGATTATGTCCATTTTATGCTACTTTCTACTTCTACTCCACTACATCTCAGAGGAAATTATAAAGTAGTTCAAATTAACCCCATCTCTACCAGCTGCAACATTAAAGTGATGTGTACATTAATCCTTCAATTATAATTCAATAACATAAGATATATCATTCAGAAATGACCCATTCTCCAAAATCAGTATTTTTACTTTTGATACTTTAAGTATATTTTAATTATAATACTTTTGCCGTTTTACTCAAGTAAAATTTTGAATGCAGGTTTTTTACTTGTAATAGAGTATTTCTGGATTGTGGTGTTGCCACTGTTACTTAAGTACAAGATCTAAGTAGTACTTCCACCACTGCATAAATATACTAAGAGGCTATTTTTCATCTGTAGTCCCTGGACAGATAGTCACACTATTGAAGGAAAAAGAAAGTGGCAAATTAAAAAATTACATGTTTTTAAAAGAAGTTTTTTTTAAAGCATTACATGTTAAAGTAAGATATACACATAATTCATGTTGATGTAACAAGGTGGGAAAAGTTAATAAGTGGGAAAACTGGTTACAACATCCCAGGTGAAGCAGAGAAGAAAAATAAAATATGTCACCAATCAAATTTGTTAATTAATATTTGCCTTGATAACAGGCAAAACATGTAGGTACCAACAGGAAGGGTCACACCTAAAATGTAGACCTGTAGTTTTGCATATGTAGCCCACATACAATATTTGTTGACACATTTTAGAATGGCTCATGAAATAGCGACTGTTTCTGCCTTTCATTGTACAAGTTATTGTCCTGTGAATAAATGTGATAATTCAGCAAGTTTTCAAAAGTGATATGGATACCCGTTCAATAAAATTACATTCTCCTCAAACATACCTTATTTTCTGTTAATATTATGCCAACCTTAATTTCGAGTTATAAACTGGGTCCTCTAGAGAACCTAGTATATGCATTGCATTGATAATAAAATTGATAATGAAATGAAATAGCATAGCAGCTTAAACTATTCCGTAGTGTCACTTATATACTGTAAGTGACAGAATCAGCTTATTAAAACTGTAAGACTTCTCCTGGTGGTGAGTTTGGATAAACAACTATTATAGACCTCTTTATCATAATAGATGTCCAAAGTATTTCATTCATGACTTATTGTTCCATACCAAAGTGTTTGTGGATCAGTTTACGAAAAATGTCAAAACAGAGTCAGCAGTAATAAAGTACCCTATAACCCTGCAACAGCTACTGTACCTGCAAGTTATGAATGATATACTTTACAGTTATAAATACACACTGTGCCTTTACATGTGTATATCATCATAATCATCAATGTCAAATAGAAATCTAAGCAAACTGTAGGCTATATATTATACATAAACATATTGTATGTAACCAACTATTTCATGAAGTTATTCAGTATTTATTCCAGCACTATTTGCACTATATGCACCCTAGAACTATTGTATTTTTGTTTACAATTTTCACAAATTATTTGACTTGTTTATAAATATGTTGTTTATTGTTGCTTGTTATATGGGCATCTACTTTTTAACCTATTCCTCTGCACATAATAGTTAATTGTTTATATTTACCCGTCTTCAGTCAACTTTGCTGCCAATGTTTTTAGTTGTGTCTATTTCTATCTCTCCTCTGAAAATTGCTCTTTTTAACTATGTACTAAGTACATTGAGAGTGACCAAAAACCAAAGTCACATTCCTTGTATGTGTACAAAGACTTGGACAATAAAGAAAAACCTGATTCTGAGACTGAAATGAAAAAATTGTCCCATGATACCTTCATTTGCATTTTTCTAATTTGTAATGTGCATTGTTCCATACATTAAGGGTGTGTGTAAAACAACTAAACACATTCTCAAGGGAAAAAATGAAATTTGCAGGAGAAACCATGAAATGGCCTAAAGCATGGGACAAGTCAGGCTTTGCAGAGTAAAATGAAATGTGTCTTCTAGACTAAATTAATCATGCAGTAATCCCATTATCGCATCCTCAGATATGTGGAATAATAAACTGAGTGTGTTAGACGGCGAAAAGACAAGCACCTTGTCTTTCTGATAAAGAGGACTGAAGAAATTGTCGGTGGGCAATGCGTAACCTAACTGTCTGTAGTTTGAATGTCGACGTATTGCACCTCAAAATGTAGACATGTAGCTCTGAATATGTAGCCCACATACAATATTTGATTACATATGTTTGCCTGGTTCGTGAAATCATCAAAGAAATGCTTGATTGTTTTCACTGCACCTGGTCAATTGGCGGACTATTTCGTATGGCGGATGTGTCCTCTGTGACTGCAGTGTTTCCGGTGTTCATGAGTGCCTCGGTAAAGGAGCGCGGTTCCTGAAGAAAAACAGGAGTAGCAGGCTCCGCGCCGAGAGTATTGTCTACACAGAGAATATCCTGCAGATTGTCACAGAAAACGACGCCTTTCTTGGGTTTGTTTTGCCGTTCTGTTCGACGACGTGCACGCGTTTGGAGTCTGATCTCAGTGTGCTCCACCGGCCGTGAAGAATCTTGCCAGCAACAAACCATTAGCTTAAGTAGCGAGCTGTCCGTTAGCAGCGATGTCGGGTGTAGTGCGAGGCCCTGCTGGGAACAACGATTGCCGAATTTACGTGGGAAATCTTCCCCCTGATATTCGCACGAAAGATGTGGAAGACGTGTTCTATAAATACGGGACAATTCGAGATATCGACCTGAAGAACCGGAGAGGTGGTCCGCCTTTCGCCTTCATTGAATTCGAAGACCCGAGGTAAGGAGCTAACTAACGTTTAGCTTGTAAGGCCATAAGCAGCGCCATTGTGTGGCTAACCAACGCGTGTGCTAACACATTACCGACGGGCTCAGACTATATCCTGGACTCCCTACTTCTTGTTCCCGCGAAGAAACATTGTGTGTGCTCTTTCGGTTTCGTCTTTGCATTTTCCTTGTGCTTAGTAGAAATCTACCTTATACACTTTAAAAACATCGCTTTTGTGCTTCTGTTTTCATTACGTCTTTAATGTTCACTCGAACACCCACTTTGCTTTGTGTCTGTCCTGTAGTTAAGTTCCGTCAATACTCACAACTTTACCCTTGAATTGCAATGTTTAGTCAGCGCCAGCGTGCATTCTTTGCAACCGCTGAGAAACTAAATGCAATATGTTTTCTTTAAATAAAATAGAGACAAATTTAAGTTACGTGCATGTCTGCAAGGCGGATTAGGAAACCAGATAAAGCTAGCCGCCAACATGGCTGACGCCGTCCGTGCCCGCATTTTCTCTGCATGTGCATCTTGAACTCTGAAGCCCCCCGTGTGTTAATGTTTAAACTGTACTGTTTTTCAATAGGGACGCCGATGATGCCGTCTATGGACGTGATGGTTATGACTACGACGGTTACAGACTGCGTGTGGAGTTCCCTCGGAGCGGCAGGGGCTCCAGAGGTGGATTTGGAGGGATCGGCGGGGCTCCCAGAGGCAGATATGGGCCTCCATCCAGACGCTCCGAGTACAGGGTCATTGTGTCGGGTAGGCAAACTAGTTAGTCATTTATTTGGCTATCATACAGACAGTTTATTTATTTATTTATTTTTGTATAGGAGGCGGTGCCCTGGACTGCTGGTATTGTTTTGCTTGTTCTGTGAAGTTATCTCTCTGGAGTGTAACTTCTGGAGATTAGCTGCAGCAGTGTTTGCTATATTTTGAGCTCTGTTAAGTGCACTTTTCATTTAGGACAACACAAAAAGGTTAAATATGGATCATGCATGCAAGCACGTATTGAGGGTAATTTAATCATTTCATTGATCACATTTACATTGGATACATGCAAGGAATCATAATACAATCAAGAAAATGAATTTAGAGAGGTGTTTTTCATAATTTGACGCATATACCATTGAAATAAGGTTTTGCTAGCAGTTAATGCAGGGAGGAATTGATGGCATGAAATACAGGACAATATTATTAACATTGGGGTCAAACAAGATTCAGGAATAAGTTAAACAATAGAACTTTTATTGAAAGAAAATTGCAGTATATTATTGCTGATAATGTTAACAAAATGTGACTTTACATCATTTGATAATTTGAATATACAATATATAAAACAAATGTATTATTTATTTGTAACGGATAATGCTTGTTGACCAACAGGAAAAAAATTTAAATGAGTCAGTTACTCTTGAAGGCTAATTTTCATCTGCTGTCCCCAGTGTGTTCTAAAAGCACCCTATGTGTTCCACATAAAAAAATATGCACAATAGTAGGCCTGCATCTGAAAATTATCATCTAGCTTAAGACATTAAGTTATTTTTATTTCATTCAACAAAATGTTTAAGTGGTCACAACGGTTTGTGCAACCAAACAAAAACATTGAATTTACTTTCACAGAAGACATAGGAAACCAGAAAATACACACTGCACAAATCCACACTAAATAATGCCACAATATAACACAGCTACAATCCATAGTAAATGAGCTAAAATGAGATTCACACAAGGTTATTGGCATAATATCAATATTGTTAACTAAAGCTGACCTCAGCAATAATATGAATTGAAATACCTTTCACCAAATCTTACAGCTACTGTTAGTCAAATGTCCATGTTTCTGCATACAGTGTGTCAGCTAACATTTTTGTCCTGTCTTTCAGGGCTCCCCCAGAGTGGCAGTTGGCAAGACCTGAAAGACCACATGCGCGAGGCAGGCGATGTGTGCTACGCTGACGTTTTCAGAGATGGAACTGGGGTTGTAGAATTTGTGCGCAAAGAGGACATGACCTATGCCGTTCGAAAGCTGGACAACACCAAATTCCGCTCACATGAGGTATGTGTACTGATTTGATTAACTGTCATGGATAATGTTTCTTTGGTGTGTCAGGTGAGTACTTTGAGGAAATGCCACGTTTTGAAGCACAACTGGCCGTCATTTCCAACTATCCTATTTACACCATAGGGAGGAATGTTGTCTTTTCAATGTCAAGTTCTCTTGTGTCCGCCAGGGTGAGACTGCTTACATTCGTGTGAAATTAGACGGTCCCCGCAGCCCAAGTTACGGAAGATCACGCTCCCGCAGTCGTGGCAGCCGGAGCAGGAGCCGCAGTCGCAGCGCCAGCCGCAGCCGCAGCAATTCCCGTGGCCGTGGCAGAGGATCGCCCCGCTACTCGCCTCGTCACAGCCGCTCTCGCTCCCGTTCCTAAACCTTTCTACCACCGATGTTTTGCCCTTTTGATGTACACCCCCCCTGTTTTTACCTCTTATGAGTTTCTCCAGATGTCAGCTATTGATTTTTAATTTTTGCATTTCATGTCCCGATGTCCTTGTGGATGATCTTGGTATGTAGATGTACCCCCTTCCTTCACCCTTGACTCTTTCCCCACCCTCTCCAGCTGCTTCATCCTCTTGTGTTCTCCCTCTCTCCTTCCTGTCCTCTCAATTTTTGCAACATTAGAAATTGTGCTGTGTTGAACTTCAAAAATGTTGAGTTGGTATAAATTGCACTCAATGTTTTTGCAAGTAATGAAAATTGAGTTTTGTTTTCTTTTTTTTTCTTTTTTTTTTTTTTTTTTAAATGAGCTTCTCTCATTGGATATGTTGGGTGGGCTGTTTGGATGGGGAGCCCATTGCTTAACTGTATTTTACCCTTGTGTCTTCCTTTAGACATCTGAAGAGAAGGATTAAAGTGATTTGGAATAAAACCATTGTGGATCACATTTCATTTGTATGGTCAGGATAGGACATCTAATTGAGGAGCAATCAGGTCGAGGCAATGGTACGCTTCATATTCCATAAATTGAACGTTTTGATCGGTTGCCATATCATGCATGTCATATTTAACAAAGCCATATGTGCTGTACTTTGTTATATATATGAAATTTTGAACATGCTACTCTGGCCTGTGACAGAATAAGCAGTCCTAGATCAAGTGTTGTGGTGTAAGTGTAACATCTTTGCTGTCAAATGTAAAATTCTGAATCACTACTTTGTTGCAAAAGCGTCCCACTTCTAACTTAAATGTCCTCAAATGTTTTAACTTCAGGGAGTGATAGTTTTTGTGGCATTTTTTTTTCTTGATCTGACATGAGTGCACAACATGGAAAAATTAGGCCCAAAAATCTTGACATTTTATTCTAACGGTCTGCCTCTGATTTTCTTCCTGGTATTTCAAGGTTTTGATTGGAGGAGTGGCTCAGTGGATCCCAATCCTTGGAGCTGGATGAGTGGATCGATTAGGGAAGGGATAGGCAAGGATGGATGCTCGGAACGGGATCAGTTTTCCAGGATTCAAATGAGTTGATTACAGAACTAAATAACGGGGAGTCCCAGAGCAACTTTTTTTTTTCTATTAGGCCCTCCCCCTGCCTATCTTTAAAGTTTTTCAGTGATAATGGCTTTATTTTACAAGAAAACGAAACTGAGGACCAGGAAGTTGGATCAAAGGATGGAATCGTAGATGCCTGGTATGAAGCAATTAATTAAAAATTGGGGCGGTTGGGAAGGGGTTTTATTTGGGAGTAGTTTGTATGTTTTATTTTGCTTAATCTTACTTTTTCTCTTAGCATTTTCAATAAAACACTTCAAAACAAGGACACCTTAGTTTGTTTTTATTTGAAACATAAACCCAAATATCAATGCACGAGACTTATTAGCCATGTATGACCCATTTTAAAGCTTTTGTGTTTGTGTAATTAAGCTGTAGACCAGTGCATTGCTTCTAACCAACTATAAACCACAAAAATAATTTGCAAAACTGCAACCAGCTGAGCCACAACAGAAATAAGGCTGATTTTTTTTTTTTTTTTTTTAATAAAAATACATATAATCTTTAATGTTAATGACGGAAGACACACACCAACCACATTACTTGCGTCTATGTTCATTATTCAAAACTCCGGTGTGTATCAGCTGTGACGGTGACTGATGAAAAATCCTGTACTCAGCCGACTGATACCTACCTGCAGCCAAGGTCTCGTTTCCTTTTAGCCCACAGTCAGTGGTGGTGTATACTGTGAATGATGCATTGTGGGTTGAAATAAGATGCCGGCAGACAGGAGCTGGAGAAAAACGCTTGCAACACACGGGGAGGCTGCAGCCCAGCCAATGACAGGGTGCAGCATGCAGCAGAGGGGCGGGGAGCTGCTGGAGAGAGCACAGCATAGAGCCAACCTACCTACATGCTTATTGTGTAAATCTTTAAAAAGCAATTAGCCGCAGCATCATCTAAACCTCCACCCCCCCGGCTGAGTGAAACATATTCTAGCAAAGAAGTGTTTTCAGGCATTTGAAGAAAAGGTGAGTTGCAGATTTAATGATTTTGAAAGAGATTGACTTGCATGTCTTGACATATTTCTGATTCGAGTTTCTCCTATGATGGTGAGCTTTGACTGTATGTCTTAATTCATTTCACTTCCCTAGACATGTAGACTGTATTGGAATGGTTGTATTTTGCCTGAGCAGATAATAAACTAGATATATTTAATACTTTTGGTCTTGATGCAGAAGCTGCTTTTATCGGAAAGTGATTTAAGCCAAGTAATTTAACTCCACCTGTATCAAGTTTCGCAGCCAATCTATGCAACGCTCAGGTCATCGTCTTGTTAAGAATGTAAATAGAAATACACAAGTGTAAGTTATGATTATCAATCAGTGCGAATGATAGAAAACGCTGTGCCAAACGGCCAGTCTTCTGCGTGTGACTGATGTTTGCGATGATCCGGCTGGCCTAAAACCATCCCCATCACCACCACCACGTGCGGTGTTAATTTTCAGTGCAGTACGTCCGAGTGAACGTGCGCCTTCCTCCCTCAGCAGGCATCATCATCATCATCCTCAACCATGACTGACAGGAAAGCTGTGATCAAGAACGCAGACATGTCCGAGGACATGCAGCAGGACGCCGTGGACTGTGCCACCCAGGCCATGGAGAAGTACAACATAGAGAAGGACATTGCAGCTTATATCAAAAAGGTGAGACAGGACGTGTACATGGAAGGATCCAAGTAGAGCTCTGTGAGCTTACATCAGTGGCACATGATCTGCAAATTCAGAGCCTTTTTTTATTCTCAGATCTATTTTTGGTCAGTGTGGAGACAAGGCTCTCATGATCAGGGCCGTAGCCAGGATTTTTTTATTACCAAGTCCCCCTGAAGCACCAACACGTCTCTAAGCATTTTGACACCAGACACCAAAGGGAAAGGTCTCTACAGTTTTTTCAAGAATTTGGATTTATCACATATTTAATAGTAGTTTTTAATAGTAGTTCAATCTAAGTATACTGAGTCTAAAAATACTATGACCAGCCTAGAACTCCCCCAGGTTGCTAAAATCCCCCAAATGTTAAGAGCTAGAGCTGAAATCATTAATCAAGTAATCAATAGACAAAATTATCAGCATCTTTTTCGATAGCAAAGATACCAAAGTGAGGGTTTAAAGCTCACGTTTGTCTTCATCATATAGGATAGTAAACTTAATATCTTTGGATTTCTACTACCTGCGAATAACATAAGAGGTTTAAAGATTTCACCTTAGGCTCTTCTCTTTATACCACAATTGATCAATTGAGAAAATAGTCAGCAGATGAATAGGTAATGACAATAAAGGGACATTGACACCTCAGTATACTTAATGGTAGCTGCAGTCTTGGTCATTACATGTAAGGCAGGATTTGTATATTGAGGGCACTGGATTTGGATTTTGTGGTACTTAATTTTGCTCTTCTGACCTTTTTACAGGAGTTTGACAAAAAGTACAACCCCACCTGGCACTGCATCGTTGGGAGGAACTTCGGCAGCTACGTCACCCACGAGACAAAGCATTTCATTTACTTCTACTTGGGCCAAGTGGCCATCTTGCTCTTCAAGTCTGGCTGAGAAGTTTCTGATGGGTGTTGAGGAGTTTTTCTCCCTGAACCTAAATCGGAAATGCACTGGTGGCTGATGTCTCCCATACACTAATAACGACATACCATAATGATGCAAAACCGGCCGTGCGCAATTGCATGGACTATACACTATTTAATATGTATGTTACAGTAAGTTTACTTTTTGATAGTTGCCATTTGAATGCAACTGAAATAGTTTTTGTTGATGCTGTTAAAATTCTAGGTTGTAAAAGATTTCAACGTGGCCCTTGATTGTATAATAAAGGAAAGCTGTAGAATGTAGTGGTGCATCTGCTTTCCTTCACAAATGGCATTGCCAGACCCTGTTATGACACTCCATCTGCCAGTTTAGATGGTGAAGTCATACTGCGTGCACCAGTTAATTCATTATCAAGATTTTAACCTTTGATCATGAAAAGAAGTTGGGTAATGGGGCAAAATTGTCAGGCACACATGTTGAGTTACTTGCGAGAACATACTTTAACCTGACAGCATGAGTTCAGTTTATTACTGCTGTATTACTAATTTAAAGGAATTATGTTGTCTGGAGATGCATATATAAAAACTTTTTCAATTTGGATTTAACCAAATCTCCAACATAAGTGAAATTTTAGCAGCCGGTTTCAGAAAAGATGTCACAACATCCAACATGCTTGACATTTTGGAACCAACACGAGCCAGTGCAAGCATTTCCAGGGATGTTTAGTTTGTCAGTGCTTAAATTTTCACTGTGAAGAACGACAGAGCAAATAAAGCTCACATACATAGACCTTAGCCTGTAATGTCCGAGTAATAACATACAGGCCGGTTACAAGAATCTCCCAGCTCGCCTACATAGATTTCAGTCTTATAATCCTGTGTTTCTGCATGTTTGGAGGATAATAACCATAATTTCTTTTACTGTCAGACGCAAACAAAATTTCATCTTGGAGCTGAATAATTTGCATTATTTAACTTTCACTTTTGAGTATGTAGATATTGGACTGAGCCGATGTGTGTCTTGTCCCAACAATTGCTATGAAGCAGCATATGAAGGAGATTTAGATAGAAACATCTGCAGTCAACTCTTATCAAGGCTACCAACACCCCTGTGTTTCAGATGGTTGTGTCGTCTCATGTGGCTTGTGATTCTTTCAAGTTGCATTATCCCCAACCTTTATTTTTGCATTGCCAGTGTACTGCCAGACATACAGGAAAGACAAAGCATTTGGTGTTGGGGCTTCTTAAACCAACTGCAAGCAGGTGTAACTCTTGTCTAGCACATTGATTTTTGGGTTTTCATTTTGTCAGTATAATTAGTTTGAAATGGCAATGCACAATGTCTGGATGTTGATGAAAAGTGTACATTGGGAGGGCAGATTGGAGAGGTTTAGTCCATTGAATTGGATAACAACACATTTCTTGCTGTGCAGAAGGACTGAGAGTTTACTCAGTTGTTTGCTCCCATATTCCAGCTATGGGTGAAATGTGAAATATCTCTCAAGTGTTAGCTTGGATTGTTTTTGAGGGATGTCTTCCTAACTATTGTCAATGTAAACTGATTTAGTATTGTTTTCCTCTGGCATGTATTTTTGCTGTGTATATGTAGGAGCCGTTCCAATGCTGTTAAATTTGCACAAAACGTGTGCCTGTCATTGCTCTCAACTGTAACCGGCTTGAGTACAATTGCACTTCATTAGAGTTATCCAGTAGGTTGCTACAGAACCAAAATCGTATAAACTCGATAAAATAAAAATTAATTGTTGACTTATTACACTGTGGCCTATTATTTTGTCATTAGTTGATGTAGAGAAAATATGTAGACTTTATAGAGCTGATAATTCACTTAAAATAAGTATTTTGACATTTTGGGAAATCGACCTGTTTATTGAGTTAGAAGAAATGTTTTAGATCTGCACAGTAATCCAAAAGTCAACTTTGTTTAACATAAAGACTGGCTTGGTCCAAAGGTAGAAAGGTGGTTTTAATCTTTGGTTTTTGAATGGCTTAAACAAACAAGATGCTAATTAGTGAGCTTTAGAGGTGCTGCTAGTCAATTTCTTAAAAAACCTTTTGGACAGAAGCAGACTAGCTGTTTCCCCGTTTCCAATCTTTATGCTGAGGTATGCTAATTAGCTGCTCACTGTAGCTTCATATTTAAAGGAATAGTTGTATAATTTGGGAAGCTCACTTATTCGCTTTGTTACCAAGAGTTACATGTGTATATTTGATGCAACTCGTATCTGTCCATTAAACTATTTCCAATATCTGGCTAACTTAGCTTAGCATAAAGACTAGAAACAGGGACACAGCTAACAAAATTTGCCTACCAGTTCCTAAAAAACAAAAGCTCTCTCTTCAATGTGTAAGTTTGTTTATATCTAGTTGTTTCCAGTCCTTGTGCTAAACTAAGCTAACAAGCTGCTTGTGCTACTTTCATATTTAACATAGAAACATGAGAGTGGTGTCAATTTTATCTAGCCCGAACCAAGGAAATGAAGCAGCTTATTTCCCAAAGTAACTATGGAAAGTAACTTTGTCTAACTTTTGCTTAATAGCAGCTGCTGTCCTCAAACAGCAACTGAAGTACAATAGTATGTTAATTCCTAGCATAACAGTTTGCTGGTGTTAGCCAGGCTGCTGTTCATACCAGACCAATAAGACTGTATCAATTCAACTGTTCAGTGTATTAAAGAGTGCAAGAGAGCAAGAGTGGGTTATATTGCTTAT